CCCTTCCCCCCCCTCCCCCCGCCCCCGGCCTGCTGAGGGGCGAGCCAGCCCTGTGGCCACCCCCTCCCCTAACACTGCTCTCCCCCCAGCAGGGCTCCAAGGGCGACCGAGGCTTGCCGGGACCCAAGGGCGAGAAGGTGAGTGCTGCTCAGGGGGGCTGTGGGGGCCCAGGGCTCCGCAGCTGCCTGCCCGTGGCAGAGGGGGGTCCGGCCACAGCTGCTCCCTCCCCCATGCATCATCATGTGCCCCTGCTTTTTGCTTGTTTCCCGCTGCCAGGGGGAGCCGGGACGATTCGGGGAGCCAGGGGATCCCGGGGAAGACGTGAGTAGGAGGCACATGGGGGGCCAGGTGGGCGGGTGCTGCAGGCAGCAGATGCTGTTGTGGAGGGGCCCGTGCCCCCATCACCCACTGCCCAGCCCTTCCTGGTGGCTTGGTGTCTTCACAGGGAGCCAAGGGGTCCTCCGGAGCCAAAGGGGAGAAGGTAAGTGTCTCCTGGTCCCAGGGGAGTGGGGGGCTCCCCAGCGCTGCGGGGGGCTGCTGCGGGTGGCACGGTGTCCAGCCAGGGGACACGCCATGTGATCTGCCACTACACAGGGATCGCCGGGTGTCGGTGTGCGGGGACCTCCAGGACAGGACGGGCCTCCGGGCTTGAAGGTAACCCCTGCCCCCATGTCACCCTGGCTCTCATTGTGTCCCCAACACCCGGGTGCTGCCCTGCCTCAGCCAGCCATGGGATAAGCATGCTCATGGGGGCTATTTCCCTGGGCCCCATCTTCTTCATCCCTGCGGCAGGGTGACATCGGCTTGCCAGGACCCCCAGGACCCCCAGGCTTAGCAGGGATCGCTGGGACGCCAGGACAGCCAGGTCTGAGAGGGGACAATGGGCAGCCTGGCCCACCGGGTTCCCCAGGAGAGAGGGTAAAGACTGTGTGCTGATCTGGGTGACCCCGGACCCTCAGGCAGTGCCAGTGAGGTCCCCACAAGCCTCGCTGACTGCCAGCCGTGGCCCCAGCCCACTCACCATGTTTTCCTGCCAGGGTTTGATCGGCTTTCCCGGGAGAGACGGCACCTCTGGACCACCAGGACCCGTGGGGCCCCCAGGGCCGGCCGTGAGTACGGGGCCCCAGTACCGCAGCATCCCTGGGGGTGCAGGCTCTGCCCTGGCTCTCCTGTCGGCTTGGGCAGGGTGATGGGAACGCACCCCACCCCTGGGGCTGGGGGTTGCTGGGGACTCTGGCACAGGGCAGGAGGTGCTGCGGGAGCCCCAGGGATGTTTTGCTGGGCACCTAGCACTGCCTTCCTCCTGTGGTTCACTCACCATGTTCCTTTCTTTTAGGGCATACAAGGAGCCTCTGGCCTGAAGGGTGACAAGGTAGGGTGAGGGCATCCCTACCCTATAGCGTGAGGGAGTGGGACCACTCGTCTCGTGGGGTGTCCCTGCTGCAGCCACCCCCTGAGTGATGCTGAGCTCACTCTGGATGGTGGCATGTGGGAGCCTGCTCTGTGCCAGGCACCCAGGGTGGTGGGGGGGCTGCGGGGTGTCCCCTGGCATGGGGAGGGGGACATGGCATGGCTGGGAGGAGCAGTGGGCGGCAAGGACAGGGACGAGCTCTTGGCTTCCCTTGGCAGGGTGGGGCAGGAGCCGGGCTGCCAGGAGCCAGAGGCGAGCGTGGAGACCCCGGGCCACGGGTAGGTACTGCCACAGCCCCGCTGCGTCCTCACCCAGCCCCCCCATGGTCTCACCACCGGGGACGGGAGATCCCATGGCTCCAGGCCCGAGGGGATAGGGAGCCAGCACTGCGCCTGTCGCCAGGGTGGGGTGACTCTGGGGGTACCCCCATCCCAGACTCCCTTCTCACATCGCTTTCTTCTCACAGGGTGAAGATGGACGCCCAGGGCCAGTAGGCGATCGAGGGCTGGCGGTAAATACCCCCCTCCCCAGCTGCACCCATGGCCAGGCCCCTCCCTGACCACCCCTCTCCTCTCGCAGGGCTTGCCTGGGAACCGGGGAGAGCGCGGGGACAAGGTAAGGGACCCTGGGGGCTGAAGAGCCGGCAGGGGCGAATGATGCACCCTCGGGGATTGGGGTCCTCGGGGATTGGGGTCTCCGGGGAGGTGCTGCCCGCTCCCCACTGCGCATCCTTGCAGCATCTCACCATCTCCCCTTCCTCTCAGGGAGACGTTGGGTCCCCAGGGCCCAAAGGAGACAAGGTGAGTCTCTGGGGTGGTGGGCAATGGGAGGGAGGGCAGCAGTGCTGGCCCCCCTGCTGACCTCCAACCCTCCTGCTTTGGGCATGCAGGGCGATACTGTGGTGGTGGAGGGGCCCATCGGAGCACGGGGCAGCAAGGGGGAGCCGGTAAGAGATGTCCCCATTCTCCTCGTCACCCTCAGTGTCATCCCTCTTGTACTGATGGGCAGGGGTTCTCCTGTGCATCCCCCTCCCCAAGGCCCTGCCTGCCCTGCTCCTGGCCCAGGGCAGCTCCCAGCCCGACGGGTTTGGTCCTGCAGCCCCTCTCCCCAGTGGCACAGGACAGCCCCCCCACCCCTTTGCCTGCCAGAAGAGCTGGAGGGGCTTCTTGCTGCCAAGGGACCCTCCTTTGCAGAGCGCATTGTCCTCTCTCCTTCAGCCACCCCACGGACCCCTGTGTCCCTGCCCCAGGGGAACTGTCCTCTCCATCCCAACATGCATCCAAGCATCCCCCCCATCCCCTGACGCCTCTCTGTGTTTCCTCCTTTGCAGGGAGAGCGTGGTCTGAAGGGCATGGAAGGCGACAAGGGGGACAAGGGGGAGCAAGGCATGCCTGGAGAGAAGGTATGGGGCTGGGGGGTTGTGCTGGGCTGGGGGGTGCTGGCTTGGGGACCACAGAGGGCTGCAGATGGGGCGATGGACCCGGGCGTGGTGGCATCCCTGTGCCCCACGTGCTGGTGCTTGTGGGCACCCTGGCACGGTGCTTGGCACCCCAGCAAGGGGAGCTGCCAGAGCCAGCATCGGAAGGCCACCATGGCCAAGCTGTGGCTGTGCCGCAGGTCTCCCTCCTGCCCTGTGTTGATCTGGGTTTCTGCTTGCAGGGGGCGAGGGGCGAGCAAGGCGAGAAGGGCTCCACAGGCTTCCCCGGGGCACGTGGACCCGGCGGGCAGAAGGTGAGGAGCTGGGGGGCGGGGGGAGCCGGTGGGGAGCCGCGTCTCGGTGCTGCTGCCACCCCTCCGCGGCGCAGGGGCGGACCCCCGTTATGCTGTGTGCTCTCCCACAGGGCCAGCCTGGCCACGACGGGATTCCTGGAGCCCGGGGGGAGAAGGGGGACATGGGACCCCTGGGCATGCGCGGCCCCAAGGTGGGTTGGTCCCTCTGCCCACCGGTGCTCTCCCAGACAAGACCTGCACCAGCTTGGCAGGACTCTGACTCCTCTCCTCATCCTCACAGGGTGACCGGGGTGTGAAAGGTGCCTGCGGCCTCGATGGGGACAAGGGCGAGAAGGTGAGTGGGTGCCCGCGGGGTGCCGCAGGCGCCTGGGTGTGCCCTGGAGGCTGTGGCCCTTTGGATCCCCTCCACTGGCCGTGGGGAGCAGGGAGACAGCTGAGGCCGGAGCTCAGCCCCGCGGCAGGGGGGCGGGGTCCCCTCCTCTGCCCACGCGGTGAGTGTTGGGGGGCGCAGGACTGCCCCCCCTGCCTCTGTCCTGCCTGCTGTAGGGAGAGCCGGGGATCCCGGGGCGCTCAGGGCTGCCGGGGAGGAAAGGCGAGCCGGTAAGCACCGGGCTGACACCGAGGCGGGACAGGAACGCACAGCTGGTGGCTGACAGACATCTGCTTTGTCCCCAGGGAGAGCTGGGTCTGTCGGGACCACCGGGCATCCCCGGGAAGGAGGGGCTCATGGGACCCAAGGTAGGTCAGGGCAGTGCTGGGAAAAGCGGTGCTGGCACTTCAGCTGCCAGCTCCCTGTCTCCTGCTGCCTGTGCCCCGCTGCCTGCCCCTTCCTCTTCGCAGGGCGACCGGGGATTCGATGGGCAGCAGGGAGCCAAAGGAGACCAGGGGGAGAAAGGAGACCGGGTGAGCGGGCTGGAAAGGGACGGGGTGCATTGCTCTGTGTTGCTTTTACCAGGATCTGTCCTTGGTCAGAAGCACATCAGAGCCAGGTACTCCCAGAAAAGCCATCTGGTGCTGCTGTAAATTATGTCACTAAACTAGAAGTGACAACAAATCCCCACTCTTGAAGAGAAGGCGCCGGTGCTGGTGTTTGAGGGGTGCCCAGCTGCAGGGTCAGAGGATGCCCATGGTGCCTGCTCTGGGGCTGGGGAGCTCTGACACCCCTGGCCTCACGCTCTGCTCTGCACAGGGTGCTCCGGGCGTTATTGGTGGCCCTGGTCCCCGGGGCAGTGACGGTGCTCCTGGTCCCCCCGGTCCCCCAGGGAGCGTTGGCCCACGAGGTCCAGAGGGCATGCAGGGCCAGAAGGTGAGTCCCCATCATGGGTGGCCGGTCCCGGTCTGGGTGCTGTGAGGGGGAGAGGGCGCTGCCTGCAGAGTGGGCAAGGGTTTGGTGAGCTCAGGAGCCATGTCCCAGCTCTGTCCCTGCCCTGTCAGCTTGCTGGCTTTGACGTCCTCCCTTGTGTCGCCCTGCCCAGGGAATGGGAGCCTGGGGCATTGGGATCCTGCTTGCCCTGGGTCTGGGCTGGACCCATCCCCGTCCCCATAGCCACCTGCACAGGCATCCGCAGGGGGCAGGGACAGGGAAGGCAGCACATCCATGGTGCTGGGGAGAGCAGAGAGGCTCCAGAGCCACCAGCCAGATCCTGAGCTGATGTCATTTGCAGGGGGAGAGAGGCCCCCCTGGACAGTCAGTGCCGGGGGCCCGCGGCGTGCCCGGCATCCCTGGTGAGAGAGGAGAGCAGGTGGGTGAGCGGGTGCCTAGCCCCGGGCAGGTAAGCCCCAGGTGGGCCAGCATCCCACCTCCCTTCCGCTTGTCTGTAGGGCAGTCCCGGCACCCAGGGGCTCCGTGGGGAGAAGGGGGAGCCGAGCATGACGGTAAGCAGCCAGGAGAGAGCTGGCACAGGCTTGTGGCACTTCAGTCGCCAGGGTGGGATGGGGTGCCAGATACGTTGTCCCACTGCCGCTGATGGAGGAGCTTCCCCCACCTCCGGGCTCTGCTCCGGCACACGGGCCTGGGGAAAGGGTTTTTCCTCCTCTCTAATTGCACCGTCCCCCGTTGCAACGTGGGCCCTTCGCCCCTCCGTGTGCCCGGCAGGAGGAGGAGATCCGCGCCTTCGTCAGGGAAGAGATGAGCCAGCACTGTGGTGAGCACCGGCCCCGGGCAGGGCTCTGGCCCCTGCTGCTCCTGACCCCCTGCCCCGTCTCTCCCGCAGCCTGCGGTGGCCACTTCCCACGGCGCCTGGATTCACGTGAGCACTCAGGTTGCAGCTCTCCCTTCCTACCCCCCTGACCCTGACCCTGCCCCATGCGTGGGGCACCAAAGGGGTCTCGGCCCCCAGGTGTGCTGCCGGTTTGGGGGGGACTGGAGGTGGATCACCTCGGTCAGGGCCGGCATCAGCATGGGACCGTGCGCAGGGAGGAGGGGTTGTGCGTGGCAGAAGTGATGGCGCAGCAGGGATCCCCAGGGGCAGCCGGCTCGGGGTGGTGGCAGTGGGGTCTGTGTGTTGCCGGGGTCTGACTGATGAAGAAGGGACCATGGGGACTGCGCCCCATCCATGGAGGCTGGTGGGCTCTGGCCAGGAGCAGCCTCCACTCTGCGCAAGGAGGAGGAAGAAGCATCCGCCAAGAAAGGCAGCATGGCCAAACAGGTGATGGAGAGCCCGGATGACCCACAAGATCTGGCCCTGTGGGCACGTGTGCCTCCCCCATGCCCATTGTCATCCCCATCCTCATCCTGCTGGGCTCCCAGCGGGTGCTGTCTTACTGGGCAGCAGCTCCTCCTGTCCGTCCCTCCTCTGGGAGCCCCCAGCAGCCCTGGTCTGTGGTGCAGAGAGAGGAGGGGGTGTCCCCAGGTCCCCCATCCCTGGCTGTGTACCCTGACATGCTGCAGCAGTGCAGGGGCAGTGCTGGGCTGCTCCGCTTCTTCAAGGGGTCGTTTCCCCCTTGGAGGCACAGGGAAGTGCCCCGGGCCACCTCACCTCCTTCCTGATGGCTGCACCGTGTCCTTCTCCCTTTCAGGGCTCTTCTCTACCCAGCCATTCCCCGCTGGCAGTGCTCACACAGTCCCTGTGCTCAAGTTGTCACATGCTGAGGAAGAGGAGGGTGAGTGTCTTCCCTGTGCTTTTAGTCCCCGTCCCCCTTTTCTCTCGCTCCACTATGGGGCTGGTCACATCCCTGCCTTCTGGTCATGGGCACAAAGGGATAATCCATCGGTGGCCACGCTGCCGGTCCCAGGGGGCTTTAATTAAGAGTGGGGAGAGGTGAGGGCAGCAAGGAGCCTGTGTGCACGCGTGTGCATGTGTGCATATGTGTGCAGAGCCGGGGCAGGGGGTAACAGAACGGAGGGGGAGGCGAGGGCTGCTCACGCCCGGCGCTGTGTCCCAGGGCAGGACAGGCGGGTCATGCTTGACACCGACGACCTCGAGTACGAGAGTGAATACAGGGAGGACGAGGACTATGATGAGGTCCTGGAGATGGACGGCTCGGAGCAGACCGCGATGGGTGGTGAGCTTCCCTGTGCCCACCTGGCACTCAGGATGGGGCCACGGGGGGTGACCACGGGGCTGCCTGGGCTTTGCTGGAGTGATGCTTCCACATCCCACCTGGCAGCGGGTCCCCGCTCCCTCTGGCTGGGGGGATTTGGGATTTGCAGCCCTCTGGATGGCACCCGCACAGGGTGCGCATTCCCCATCACAGCGCTGTGCCGCACACATCGTGCAGACCTCACGCTCCATCCCCCTCACCAAAGCTGTCACCGGCAGTGATGGGTGATTTGCTGGGCTGGTGGGACCAGCTGCCCCTGGCTTGCTTCCTTGGATCCCAAAGCCCCCAGGAGAGCAGAGAAGCCCCCACGGTGGAAGCACCACGCAGAGGGTCCCTCTGGTAACCTTCCAAGGGATGCTGTGGCCATCGTGTCCCCATGCCACCTCCCTCCCAGCTCTATCTCCAGCCTTTGCTGGGAGCTGCCCCTGGGAGAGGGCTGGCCAGCGCAGCGTCTCCTGCCCTCACTCCCAGCATTTGGCCACGGCACGGAGATGTCCCCTGCAGCCAAACCCTGCCCGTGCTCGGTCAGGGGCCATCCCCTGCCTTCCCTTTTTGGGGTTTCTCCTCTGCCAAGCAGGTCTGGCTGCCTCCACCAGCGGTGTGCTGCCAGCTCCTGCCCGCCCTCACCATCGCCGTTTGCCCCCCACAGCTGAGCCCTGCAGCCTGCCGCTGGACGAGGGGGACTGCCAGCGCTACACGCTGCGGTGGTACTACAACCAAAGAGTCACCGAGTGCCGGCCCTTCGTTTACAGCGGCTGTCGGGGCAACCTCAACCGCTTCGACAGCAAGGAGGAGTGCGAGCTGCACTGCGGGCAGCGCCCAGGGGCAGGTAGGCACGGCCACTGGCACTGGAACCGGCATGGCCGGCAGCATCCCCACCCCGTGCTGCGAACTCGATCGATGCAGAGCCAGGAGGACAGTGCTGGTCCCCCAGCTTGGCTCTGACACCACCTCACTTCTCTCCGCAGATGCCCACGGCGTTGCTGGTGGCAAGGCGGGAGGGCAGCCGGCAGTGTAGG